TGTTGCTGCTGCTGCTGCTGCCGCCGTTGCCGCTGCTGCTGCTGCTGCTGCTGTTGCTGCTGCTGCTGCTGTTGTTGTTGTTGCTGCTGCTGTTGTTGTTGCGTGCTGCTGCTGCTGCTGTTGTTGCTGCTGCTGTTGCTGCTGCTGCTGCTGCGGTTGTGGTTGCTGGTGTTGGTTTTCGGTTGTTGGATGTTGGCAGTTGGTAGTTGGCTGTCGGTTGCTGGTTATTGGTTGTCGATTGTTGGCTGTTGGGTGTTTCTGGTTGTTGTTTGTTGTTTGTTTGTTGTGTGTTATGTGTTGTGCGCTGTTGTGTGTGTGTGTGTGTGTGTGTTGTGTGTGTGTTTTTTTGTTTCCGTGTGTGTTGGCTTTTGCTTGATGTTTATTGTTTGTTGTGTGATAAGTCTTTGCCGAAGTGTTGTGTGCTTTGTGTTGTGTTGTATTTATTTGCGTTGTTGCTGCGGGCGGTATTGGCGGTTGTAGTTGTGACCGTTACCGCTGTTGTTGATGTTGTTGTTGCTGATGTTCCCGCTAACACCATCAGCGTTGTCAAATCATCATCACGGATCGCCATCTTCCTCGTCGTCGTCATCAGCATCGTCGTCATCATCATCATCATCATCGTCGTCCTCGTCAGTGTTGTGTTGCTTACTTCTGTCACCTATGTTCTATTGTACATCGACAGCTCAGCGTGTCGGGCTTGAGCGGTCAGCACGGCAGCACCTTTTCACACCGTCAGCATTGAGACAGCCATGACCAGCTTTCCAGTTGACGATAAGACTCGCTTTCCAAACGCTCTAGATCACAACTATCCCCCAAGCAAAAAAGTTGAAGTTCCCAACATGGCGCCTGCCTATGTCGTCTACGAGGCCGGGACCAGGTTCTTTAGGACAACATGTGGTTTCTGCGATGTGGGGACTTAAAAAGATTCGAGGTACGTTGCAAAGGATCCTCGCGGAAAGTCCCCTATTCACATTGGGTTTGTATTTAGGGTTGCCGATCTATGTTTGTCGTGGAGGTGACTGCCACGGACGGCAATTGTTACTCCTCGCATCCAATGGTCGGAAACCAGGAGATTTTCTCTGTTGAGGGAGAAGGCAGACTAAATCTTTGCACAGCGAAGGATTGCATTTGGAAAGCGAAGCCTAAAGCATAGCATCCTGCGGTCCAGGATGCTTGAGATCCTGACAGCCGAATCTTCCCCTTCGGCTCCAGCCCGAGCTTTTGGGGGCCCTTTCATCCGTGAAGGCCCGTGTGGAAATTGAGCCATCGAAACCATCCCAGGCCTTCGTTTCCGATAAGCCCAAAACGGAGAAGCCGAAATGCGAAGGCTGTTGAGGCCTTCTTGCGAAAGGAGTGGGCTCGTTGGGGCTTCCGACTCTCGGAGATGTGCAGAGGGTTTCAGAGGGTCTAAGCAAGGATTGAGCATGGTTGTGGACGATTCGGCAGCAAGAAGTCTTGAAGAGCTTTAGGCTTTGGGCTCACGGAGAAGATTCACCGGTCCGACCTTCCACGTGTTTGGACCTTCCACGTGAGGAAAAGTTGAGTTACTTCGTTGTGAACGCGAGGATGGGAGTCTCAAGCTGCACTGCGGTTACTGTGTTCAGGGGTTTCTCGCAGGTTCTGGAGGATGTGTGGAGGAGGTTTGTCGTGCTTCGCTTCAAGCCAGAACTGGGAAGGTTCTGTCCCCAGGCTTGGTGCAGGTCCCGGCTTAGTGTTAAGACGGGGAAACGGATGCTTTGGTGTCCATGCAATAGCACCATCCGGCCGCGTAGTCACAACCACTTTCAATGCCCTCAAGTCAGAAGCAAAGCTGCGAGCTCTTTGCTCTTAAAGTGGCGGTTCAGTGCTTTCGCGAGTTCTCACGTTTCCATGCTTCGCGAGCTTTGCGCATTGCCAGCCGAGTGCACACTTCCAAGTCATCGCGACGGTTCGCAACACTCGGCAAGCCTTGGGGGAGAAGGGATGCGAGATCAAGCGAGTGCTCCTCGTCCTGAGAATCTCGGGCTTTGGATAGGTTTGGAGGCTCCGTGTTGACAGAATCCCTGTGGCAGACCCTAATTGCTCCCTATTTAGAGTCCGGCCAGCAACACCTCAGGAGATATTCATTTAAACCAGCCACACCGTTGGTTCTAGGGTTTCATGGGGTAGTGTTCAGGGGATGCGATTCCGAGCCACTTTGTCAGAGCCGGTTCAAGTCACGAGAGTCCATGGATGCCGCTGTGGTGGTTTATGGTCCAGGTTGGTGATACAAGTGGTGGTACTGGTGGGGGGAGTGGTTGTTCCAGCAGCTGTTGGTGATACCGTCGCCGCCGCACCCTGCCGTGTCCGTCGTCACCGCACGTCGTTGTCGTGTCGCTACAGTCGCCAAAGTTGTCAGTCCCCGTTGCAGCCTCCTTCTAGCCCCTCGTGGTCCCAGCTGGCCAGGCAACACAAGTTGGAGCTCACGTTCGGGTTCCCTTCAGGCGAACCCAATGTGTTAAGTTTCCGCGAAGGGAGCATCCTACGGTTTGCGTGCCTCTCTTTGGTTTCGGCCAGCTTTCTTACGCTAACCTTGCTAACCTTTCCCACATTGCCTTAGCAAACATGGATCGCTTCTGTACGGGGTTCACTGGATTTCTCGTCCGTGGGTCACGGCTGAAGCATCTTGCCTGTAAACCAGGTGTAAGGAGCGGCAGCTCTGAATCCAAGCATGAAGAAGCGCCTCAAGCAATCCTGGTATAGAAATCCAGAAATCCCAAAGCACACGGTCCAAGTCCGTGCCCCAGCTGTTCGGAAACCGCAAGTCCTCAACCTGCAGAGTGTAATCTGCACAGCCCAGATTCCTGCACCTACTGTGAAGGCTTCGGACAGATGGGGTGGTTTCGGACTGAGGGAGGTGTCGCGGGTGTATCCCGCATTGAGTGACCGTTTCGATGCAACTAGTTCAAAAAAATTGGGTTCGCATGCTCATGTCAGCTTTCCGTGAAACTGTCCAGAATCCCCAACTCTCTCACCTAAGCTGGCAGTGACCTTGAAAGCTCCGCATATGATTTCCGAAGTGCACTCGGGCTGCCTTTGAAGGCTCCGTGGAGATGTTGTTGCAGCATGAAGACTCGTGGATAAAAGGCCATCGGCAGAAAGTGGTTTCGCAGACAGATTGAAGGTTAGAGTTTGGTCTTTGCGTGTTCATGTCCAGGGCCGAATTTGGTTTTGGGCAGAGAGAATCGTGGTAGGAGGAGTAGTGGGACGGCAAGCAGCAACAACTGAGTCAGAGCAGCAGCCACGTCTCTACGACTCGAGCCAGTAGCAGTCGCCACAAGCAAATGCCACCTCCACGTTCCCTGTGGATGTGGGAAAGGTCGCGGAAAAGGGAAGGTCAAGGGCAAGGACTGCTTGCTTCAGAAAGCTCAACAGTTCACAGCATGGTGGAGTGTTAGGGGAGTGTTGCCCCCAGCTTTACCTCCCATCTTCAAACTGATGCAGCCTTTACCCTCATCCTGAGTGCGGAGGAGGATGACAGCGACGGGTCCGAGGAGGCGACTTCGGACTCCGGAGACTCCGGAACCGGTTGGAGTCAGCGCTCTGAAGCGTTTTTCGCGGGGTCTGAGTTGATTTCGGCTTGCCCAAGCACTTGCCAAGACACGCATGGAAAAGCACTTTGCCGGAGCCTGGCAATGTTAGTGCAATGCCTCGGTCCCAAGGTTCAGGATCCGATGCCCTCGCGAGGCCTGATTTCTGCTTGCTTGCAGGTCTTGCAGGTCCTGGGCACTCGGGCCTCGCATGCAGTACCACGGAGGACCAACAAGTCCAAGATTGGGGAATGATCGCTGCAAGACGGAGGTGAACGGGCCTCCTGAAGCTCTCAAGGTGCATGAGCTGACGAAGCTGCATAACAAAACCATGTTGATGACGAATCGATGATGATGCATGACGACGTCGAGGAGGAGGAGGAGGACGAAACTTGATACTGCTAGGGATAGTGCTGACGATGTGCCGTCACTACTGTCAGAGTGAAGAAGAAGGTGCTACTTGTAGTTATCACAATATGGTGATGCTCACGTTGTCATGACAAAGCCGAGTCAGATGGTGGCCATGACTGACAGGCTACGGTGGAAAAGGCCACACCAAGGCCAAGCCGCGCGAACCCACGACAACCCAACGCCGGGAAGGCTCTGCAAAGACTTCGGAAATTAGGGATTTGGATGGTTGAAGAGTTGTCGGGGTAACAGTTTCAATGACTGCCTAGAGTCGCTATCTCCTGTGATATGTTCCGGATACGGGGTTCGAGAGCCGTGGGCGCAGTGTGGCACAATTTGTTGTCAAGCGCATTGCGAAGCTCCTCAGCCTTGCACTTTACAGATTCAGAAAAGCTGCAAGCCCTCCTGGAAGCTTTACTGAGTGGCGAGATGACCTTCTCGCACCCGAGCCTCCCGAGAGCTGCAGAAGGCCTTTTACGAAAGAGCAAGGGAGACCCGAAGTTCTTGATCCCTGGAGGTGACAGGCTCTTCACAGATGAGGAGCACCGAAAATCCCTGGATCGCCTTCTGGAGATTCAAGTCGCCTGTCTAGCCTTTTTGATCAGGTGGACAAGTAAAACTACTATTTAAATCAACATAGGACCACTATCATGCTCAGTATTCTGGATGCTCAAATCACAAACCCTCGATGTGAGGCCCGGCTGGAGGCGAAGTGGAGCGAGCTACCGCTGGTGGAGGAGCGGCCTGGACTTCAGTGTCGAAAGCTTTGTCGGGTCGGTCGAGGAGTTCAGGTATCCTTCCTTGAGCTTGATGTAGAGTCTTTCAATCGCTCCATGCCTTGAGAGGAGCCTTTGAAACAGCAGTGCCGATATGCCTTGCGCCTTTGGCGGGAGCTGTCCCTGAGGAGCCGAGGCTGAACTGAGATCGTAGCCTTTTCGCAGAGCTCGAGAATCTCTCGAATTCCGCCGTTCCCAAGGGTTTGGGGGATTCCTCGAAGGCTTTCGTGCTCCGGCCGCAGGGGCCCTGTGCATTTAGGGTGCGCGTCGTCTTGCCGCCGCAGTCCCGTCTGTGTCCGCCTCACGAATGTGCACATCTTCACCGACGTTTATTTTTGGGTGGGAGTCGTCTTCTTGCCACAGCGGTGCGAGTATTCCGAGGTATGGCATGGTGTTGGGCCACGGATGCTCTTGTAATGGTTTGTTGGGCATGTCGGGCTAAGGCTTAGACTGCTAGGTGCTCTTTCATTGTTTGGGGTCTTATTAATTTTCACCTGCGTAGATGGGGTTTCTTGCGTTCCTGGACAAGGAACGACAAATCTACTCTAAAGTTGTTCGTTACAGCCTAGAGGAGTGCCAACAAAAACGATAAGGCTGATATCAAAGTACTCAGACATACTCAGACCTTTATCTAAGTCCTTTATGCCTTTACATCCATCACTGGCATTCTATGTACGACCAGGAGATTGGCGAGCTCAACATCGTGTTAAGATCAAGTCATGAAGGAACTGACCATTGGTTCATCTAAAAGATAGTTGCGCGTCTCTCGCTTACTCAAAATTTTTCCACTTAGAAGATGCCTTGTAGATGTTGAGCGATGTGAGGGAGTTGTCATGTGTTGTTGCACGGGCCAAGGGAGATTCTCCCTTGGCTGCTAAAGAACAACGGAGCCTTTTCATATTGCTTCATACGGGCAGGGCTTTGAACACCTATAACTTGCCTATAACCCCATATCCCGAACATTGACTGTGACTGTTGGCTAAGCACTCCCCGGCCTACAACCCCCGGACTCTCCAAGTTCCTATCAATATCTACCTTCGATAAAGAATAGTAAATAGTTGAAGAGGTTTTACAGCATAACACCGATGCTTCACAAGAGACAACAAGACTGATGGATTGTTGGTGCAACTGACATTTTGACAGGTGTATGCTCCCGAAGTTGGCCCTGCCAGCTACTCTAAATTTGCATGGTGTTTAAGTTTTCAATATACACTTGGATTTCGTGGAAAGACCTGACCGCGCTTGGCTGGCAAATCTCCGCTTCCGCGCACTTCTCTCGCGGATTCCGTGTCTATGTCTATTCCTATATCTACGTTGCGGCCCGAAGTGGTGGTCCTGGCGGGTGTTGTCTTGGCAGGCTCCTCGCCGCTGCAACGAGTCATCCCCTGCCTCCTTGTAGGCTTAGGCTGGCAGGGTTGAGGGATACCGATGCACAGAGAGACTTTGATTCCACTTACTTGTGAGAATCCAAGGATCGGCCCAAGCCCTCCGCCGCCAGATGTGCCGGTGCGGCTCGACGGTGAGAACTTCGCGTGAGGGCTTGTGGAAATACGCGAAATAGGTGCGTTCAAGCGCATACGCACCGGAGCACACATGTCTGTCTATACGCACATGCAGACTGACAGCTGTACATCGGCCCAATCTAGGTGTTGAGCCACACATACATGTCGATGTTCGATAATGACGCATTACAGTCAACGCCGTGCATCAAGACATTCTTTAAGCAGACTTGCATTGAGACCATTGACGCTGAAGGCACTTCCGGAAAATTCAAGTGTAAATTCCGTGCTGGTCCGAACCACGCTGAAACTTACAGAACTTTTTCCAAGTCATGAACACTTCCCGTCCCACAACATGGTCTGGTACCCCGAAACTAAGCTTCTTGCTGGCCCAGGGACCTTGTCTACGGGCCTGATGTGCTATCGTCACCGGTGCCGCCGCTGTGAAGCAAGGGACTAAAGACGACAGGCGCATGCCGGACTTGTTCCAAGTCCAGGTCCATGCCCATGTAAGCTGCATTGCACGCATCATCTTCTGGTGCCGCATCTCAGCCCACATGCCCCCTTCTAGGCCTTGCGGAGCTGCAAGTTGAGGCCGGGCGACTGGGGCGACCTCGACTGGGCCACAGGACTAGGACTGGACGACTGGGGCGCTCCTGTGTCGATGTCGATCGACTGGGGGGCTCCAGTGTCGGATGGCGGAGCCAACGATCCGCAGGCAAGAGGGCGCGGCTTTGTTCGCAGGTCTCAGTCGGCTTTTCTCAAGTATTCTTGAAGTGGTAGTTGGAGAGCGATCGTGCTGACTGAGTCCGGCTGAACCCGTAACCTTCCGATTTGCCACGGTGTGGAGGTATCTCGCAAGCTGCACATTCTCGGGTCTTCAGAGGTTCAAACTCTGCAGCTCCAGGCCATGGGCATGTGTGGCCAGGGTTTCGGAGTGTCGGGGCTCCCCGTCCGGCTTCGTTGAGGCCTCTGCAAGAGTCTCGGATCTGCTGGAGCAGCTCCGCGAGGCGAGGCATGGCGGGCTCCATGCTCCATGGCTCTGCCTTTTGGGCTCTCTCTCAGAGGGCCAGGCTTTGCAATTCCAAGCCGGAGCCGGGGCCCCTTCTCCACAGAAGTCCTTTCTCCAGGCCTCTCCGGACCTGGGAAACCTCCATCTGACTGAACACCCATGCCTTTTGATCACTTTGATCATTGTCTTTTGAAGGCAATCCAAGGCCCCATCGAACAAATTCCTGGATAAGCCAAGCCAGGCGAATGTGCTTCCACCGCTTCTTGACCTCCATCTTGAGAGTTTCTCTCGATTTTTGGTTTTTGGTTCAGCTCGGGGACAACTGCTGCAGGAGCGAGGCATCCCGAAAAAAAGGGAGATTCAGCACCATGGCCGAAACATCGCTTGCTGCTTACTTACAGATTTCTTGGCTATCGCCATTAAGACGGGTTTGAGTTGGAGTGTTTGGTGAGATGGAAAGGCCGTAGCAGTGGCAGGATGAATCGACACCTACTGTCGTTTCTGAGAAGTTCGCGGATGTTAGACAAGATGGGTGAAGTTTGCAGTAAATGGCGCTCCTTGGTGACACAGGTTATCACACAGGGGCCTTCGAAGTCCCATGACAGTTGACGAGCGTGGATGTGTGGAGATACGGCCAAATCGTGCACTGTCTCCTACCTATGACTTTGTCAAAAAGCCCTACTTTTAGCTGGCCAGAAGATCCCGCAAGCTTTTCAAGCAGCGGCAACCCAGGCTAGTGCTCATGCCAAGCGGGCAGGTTTTGGATGCCACTGGGCCAAACCAGAGGAACACAGTTGCGGCGGATGCCTTTCTACTGGGCTGTTCGGTTTGATCCTCTTGTCCGCTTTGTCATTGCGGTTCTGGGATGAGTGCCTCAAGGTGGGCAACGAAACACCGTGACTTCTAATCGTTCTTATTTGCCGGAGCACCTCTGAATCCAAAGTGGAGTCGGCTCGTAATTGTGCCCAGGCCGACGACCCGACATTGGTCAGGGGGAAGTAAGATGATCCCATCAGAAGCGCCGACGCCAGCTGAGGAAGACATTGCGATCAGCGGTTTGCCCGCAGATGAAGAGCTTACGCTCATTCTCTAGGAGATGCGACTGAACTGCGGCTAGCTGTTAGTCGGGGTCTATTCCATGCTGATTCCTTCAAGCTGTTCTGAGTTTTTGACCAATCTCGGTACGAATTACACTACAGAAGTCTGAATTCTAGCCATTATATTGTTCACCGAGACAGAGTTTGCGTGACAGCTGGGGCCGGGGCTTTACATAGACACGGAAACAGCCCTGAGGCCGTTTACACTGCAAGGCAGCCCCCAGGCCTAGCCCCGAGATGCCCCGAGTCCGTCAAGGGCGGCGGAAAATGCGGAAAGGCCTCGGTCTTGAATCCTCCCCGGAGGAGTCGATGTGCACATCTCTGGACGCCCAAAGACATCCTGGACTTCCTGAGACGGAACAATGGAGTCTACTCACGGGGCAATAGCCGCTGCAGGGTTGCAGTTGATGTTGGTTCTGTAGGGGGTGATGTCGAGCTGTCTGGTTTTCAGGCTCCTCACAAAATGTGGCATGACTCATCTGGTTCGGTCTTGGGGAAGACTTCGGCGTTATGGTGTCTGCCGTGTTTTCGGGACTGCCCAAAGGGTGGCTCCGGACTGCAGGGGCCTCGGCTCGTTCCAAGGGAGTAAGTAGGTCAAGCCCAGCGCTTCGGCTTCGGCTGTTTGCCACGGAGGCTCTGCGGGGATAGGCGACGACTCGCTTCGGGAAAAGAGAGCTGAAGTTGCCGAAGCCTGCCAAGGGATGTCTGTCGTGGGCTCGGGGACTTGGCTTTGCGGGGGCACTTCGCCTGCGACAGGACTTGTTGAGTTTGAGACACAGTTGGCCCTGGACATGTCTGTAATTGACTGTACGTCCGTGGATTTGCGATCTGTAAAACTTTGGTAAGCTTTCACGTGATCAGCCCGCGGTATGCCAGGTACAGCCGTATCTCGAGTACGTCTCGAGGCACTTGCTTCACAACGGTTCGTGCACAGCTCACGATCTAGAGCTCGAGACGCATGCAACGGGCAGGTAGGATGGGATTGAGGCTTCAAGTTCTTGGTTTCAGTAGCTTGATACCCAGGAGCTTAGAGGAGATCAGAGTCGTGAAGATCCACCTTTTTCCACCTGACTCCGACCTTCAGGCCCCTGGATGACGTGAGCGCCTCTGAGCTAGCGCGGGAGCCGAGCAGAGCAGGCTGTCAACTAATACCCAGTCGAGTTAAGGTTTGGATTTTTTCTGAGTCAGGGCCTCGAACCTCGGGCTTTGCGGGCTTTGGCTGAGATCACCCGCTCAGGAGTAGTCCGGCACGGGGCAATGGGCTCGGGTTAAGTGGCGACTAAAATGGAGGCCAAGGGCCATAAACTATAAACCATGTTCAGGCAAGTGTCCTTCGTGCGCAGCACCTGTGAGGCAGCATGGCAGTTTTCTCGACAAACTCCCATATGCCTTCCATAGCATCAGAACTGCAGCCTGATCTGACATCACATCTGAGGTTGAATCCAGGCACCTCCGACTCTGTTGATGAGCTGCTTTGGCCCTTCTCTTGGTGAAGCCGCTGAAGCCTAGAGTCCTAGAGTTTGCACATATATTGCGTGGCTTGTTCGTAATGTTGCATGGCACGCGAAGCCGAGCACGCTCAATGGAATCCGGAACTCCTAAAATCTCATACAGCAAGATGGATGCATGGTTCAGGACCAGCGTCGTGTGTCCAAGAACTCATGCCACACCGATCCGTTCACCAGCAAATCCTAAGCCCTCCCAGCTCGACATAGATGCAACGAGGGGTTGCCATCACCAGTCGAAGCGGAAAGAAGAGAAGACTCCGGACTTGAGCATCGCGCAATTCTTGCTCTTCAGAGCGGCGTCAGTGCCGTCGCGAATTGGGCTTGTGCTGCATGCGCCTACTGCACTTTGACAATGTAAAGATGCCCATCTTCTGACTGGTCTTACAGGGCTGCGCTGCAAAGTGAGACCTGGATTGGTGCTGTGTCTACTTTGGTTGAAGATGAGCGGTTTGGAGCAGTTCAGTCTGGGTCGGCGACGTCTCCACGTGTGCGCAGGTTTCGGGAAGGCCCTCCCACGTTTCAGGCGCGGAGGGATGCAAATGTGAGGTGTTGGGCTTTACGGCCAGGATGAGAATGCAGGGATCGGTATTCAATCTAATTCCGACTTCTATATACTATAAACGAGGCATGGAATGAAAAAGAGCAAGCCATGAAGGGACCTGATACGTTTACTTGGGGTACATAATAAGGGTCTCCAGAACCCACAGAACAGCGGTTGCAACCTTTTGATCCGAAGAACCCTTGAAAGAGAATCCACAGATGGCTGGGCATGGCTTGAAGTTAAGCTCCGAACTTTCTCAAACGCTCCAGTTCCTTCTCTCTTCCTCCGTTTTACGCGGCAGGTTTAGGCCCTCTTAGGCCATGGCCGCAACGCTAAGCGTTGGGGATTCCTTCATTCTCCGGGACAGTCTTGCCAGGAGCAGGCTGCGAGAAGGGAGGCGCGATACGGATTTCGGACGAGTTTTCCCGATGCTACCGGTTCGGTTGGAAAAGAGGACAGAGTCTACTTATAGCCGTCGGATGCAAGGGAAGCTTTCATGGCCCTACTTTGTTGAGTGGCTTTGGACATCTGATTTGCTCAGAGTGTGATGTCGTTGACAGCACGCCTCGATTCATCAAGCGCAGTATGGAACAACTGCTTGATCAACACCTGCCCCTCACACTTCCAGACTGAAGTAGGATCTGGGTTTTGGGCAGCTGGAAACTTGCGAACGTGAAACCGTGTGCTGGCTGGACAAGTGCGCTGGATAGCTACATGTGTCAAGGCCAGTAGTTCTGCGAGGCACGCCCTACATCTTCAACTTCGTTCGTTGAGTGGATTCGTGCTCTAGCATGCTCTGCTGCCTTCTAGTCTGGTCCATGATTGTGCGTGTGATGATTGAAAACCTGGGTCTTACTCATCATGTGGTGAAGTCTGGTCGCGAATCGTTGGGCTGTTGCACAGGAATCCGCAGAGCTCAGAAACACAAGGACAGAGCCAACAAAGATAACCGTAGCAATCTAGCAAACTGGGAGAACATAAGCCGGAACATGCCAATGGGGTTTGGGTCTTTGGTATGAGGAAAGACACCAGCAATAGCTACAGACGCCCTGCCGCCGGGTCAGCCAAATTAATGGATTTCTCCAAGGGTGTAGCGTCGATACTTCTTCCCTATGTCAGATGGTGAGCCTCAGGCGAAGCGGGCGGCAGCGCCACACAGGAATCTTACCGTCAGGGACCCTAGAGATTCGATGTCAGGAATCTGGACGCCATCCAGGATTTTCGAGGACCTTGTCAAATTGGCTAGCTTTCTGGGGATGGAGTTTGTGACTTTGGGGTTTCGGTCTTCGGGATTGCTCACCCAAGACTTCAAGATGTGGGAGCGTCGAAACTCCTCAACTGCAATCCCAGCTTACGTCACTTCGTCCTTTCGATTTGAGTGTTTGGTGGTCTAGGATGCTCTATGAGTTTGGCTCTGAACGGCCCAAAAGCAATGCGACGGTCCCTTAGTCCTCGTGGTATTTAGTCTTCGTTTTCGCCGTGATCGGCACAGCTGTCGAAGGATTGCTCGGGCGATGTTCGGCTTCTGCCATGATGATGGCTATTGAGGATGCTTTCTTATTGTATGGTTGCTGTCGACGCTATCCATCCATCTAGCTTTCAATCGCTGCTTCTAGCTATCTAGCAGTCTGTCATTCTATCGATCTGACTATCTATCTGTCTGTCTATCTATCTATCTAGCTGGCTAGCTTGGACCTACCTACCTATCATTCAATCAATCTATCTATCCATCCATCTATCTATCTATCCATCCATCTATCTATCTATCTATCTATCTATCTATCTGTCGATCTATCGATCTATCTCTCGCTCTCTGTCTCGCTATATCTATCTATCTAGCCAGCTAGCTAGCTAGCTAGCTACCTATCTATCTATCGAGCTATCTATCACCCTTCCATCGATCTAGCTCGCTCTCCCGTTGTCAGGCCTGGCCCGCGGCGCCGCGGCTCTGAGGGGCGAAGTTTCGTGATTCAGAGAACCCCAATCTCTAGCAATCTAGGAAGTTAGGGGTGAAAACTTCGGCTTATCGCAACTACGGAGACATCGTCTTCAAGCTGAAATCGACGTGTCCTAAGGCCCGACTCCCGAAGCCAAGCAGCCTCCGAGCCTCAGCTACTGGAGCTTCGGCAGTCTTTTCAGCATTTTGCACATCTTCGAGTACCTCGTTAATGTTCCATGTAGATGGCAGAGACCGCCATCCAGCGTGCAAAAGAGGAGCGACACGACCCCGAAAGCCACGGCCCGAGCCCGACGTGACCGAGTTCAGCCGTTCAGCCCATGCCAAGCGAGGAGACCGATGCCGCCCTGCGCCGGTCCAAGAAGGCACGGCCGCTTCGATCTGAGGTTCCTCGAGCCGAGAGCAGGGACAGCGTGGGGCAGGTGCATACAAGTCTGAATCGCTTCTGGTTGCTATAAAGGCATAGCTCTACCGTTTTCAGGCTTCGGGGTCTTAGAGTGTAAACTTAGTGCTTGGGCCGCTCGTTGCCCCACAACTCGCAATGAGCAATCCCCCCTGCGGAGAGGATGCCATCTTTGACGACATGCCGGCGAAGGTATGGCATGCTTGAAGCTTCTTTCGGATGCGGGTTCTCAGCTTTGGCTCCGCAACTCCTTGGAGGGGACCCCTCTCGTTCTCTTCTACCTGCATCCGCCAGGCCGAGTGGCAAGCGAAGAGTGCCCTGCTCCAAGTATGAACTCGCTGAGCTTGTTTCGAGCTTGGGCAGCAAATTCAGACGGCGGATTCCTCGTGGCAAGATCTACACTTCTGCGCGATGACTGCCGCCTCACGGGCGTTCCGGATTTCGGAACTCTGCCCTGCTGTGGTAGAGGTCCGTGAAGAGCTGCATCCCTACGCTCCAGTCCTGCACCCGAAAGAGCCTCGCACCCAAACCGCCCGAACTCCGTCTTCTGCAGGGCTCAGGGCGAGTCCCGACTCTCAAATCTTTGGACTAGCCATCACGTCGAGCGTAGGCAGATTCGGGTTCCGGCAAGCTTTGCCTGATGTCGCCGAGGTTGACGACCAAGTCCGAAAGGTGCCGGGCCCAGTCAGAAACGAAGGTCCGCCGACCATAAAAAAGAGCTGATCTGACTAATCCGGCTTGCGGGCTTTGTGTGATCTGGTGGCCGATGGAAGAGCCTCCCTCCCTCTCGCTCCCGAAGCTGCGAACTTTGAACTTTCCGCAGCCCAAAAGCACGGCAAGGTGAAAGTTGCCGAGCCGCGAAGGGTTCGCGACGGTGAGGAGGCGGTCCGCTGTCCGCTGTGCTGTGCTCTGCCGGTCCCCAAGAGCCGAAGCGAGCCCAAGCTGAGGAGGCGATCTTCGAAGAGGAGGCCAAGCTTCTGGGGGCTGAGGGTCGCGTCTCCCCTCGGCGGGTGTCCGCATCTTCCAGCGCAAGGCTCCATCATGGCCATTTCGAAGAAGCGAACACATGCGGTTCATCTTTGGGCGGCTTAACTGCTGTTTTGCAGGAGTACGGACATGGGGCTTTCGTGCAATGTTGTACCTTCTCCAAAAATCCTGAGCTGTAAGCTGAGGTAAAGCTTGCACATTTCTGCTTCTCAAGTCCGGATGTCTGCCTGCTGAGAACTGGGCTCAAATTCCAGCAGCTTGGAGTTCGACCTTTTGTGGTAGTCAACCCGCCCAAGATGCAGTCTCAGCTGGTGGCTCGGCAGGACGTGGCTAATTACTCGTCTCAGTCCTGGTTTTGACCTCTCTGAGATAAAGTGCCTGAGTTGAAGAAAGCGAATCACAGGTACAGCACCGTCAACCGCGACGCACGCACCGTCCAGCCAAGCAGGCGGGGCAGCGCCTCTTCGCGGCCAGGGCCGCACCTCTAATGTTCCGGGTTTCAAGCGCAGGGAGGTATCGGGAACGGAATCCCAGAAGCTAAAGCAGGAATGAAGCACAGCACCGAATACGTTAATAAACGGGAAGTGCCAGCAAGAGGAAAAGGGCCGTCCCACATTGCGGGCTCGTGGTTCGTCGGTCCACCTTGAATTCAGCCGTGTTGAGAGATTGCTTGTCGTTCCTGTTGTTCCGCAACAGCTTCCTTGTCAGTGTTTTTGCTTCTCATGTCATGTCGTGGTTGATGGGCGGGGCTCTGCTTGTTGCCGATCTGTGTTTGCTGTTGGCTTTGGCAGCATGAACCAATTTCATGCAGACCACAAAGCCTGAAGTGAGGAGCCCTTCACTACCGTGATGATCCGTCGACTTCCCTTGGAGATGACAGAGGACCAACTCATCTCCATGCTCAACACTCTCGTCCGAGGCGGAAGGGAGAGGGCACATGGGCAGGCCCCAAGTAGGGTAGGAGGAATCTTGTTGATCCTAACCATTCTGAACCTCTGTAGCCCTGGCTCTTCGAAGCAAGCAGCTTCGCAGGGTTGTAGAGATGGAAATAGAAGGATGTATAGAAGCGCGAGGGAGTTTCAGGATCAGTGGAAAGAAAGATATTGAGAATGGAACGAGTCAAGGGCAGATATAAGCCGACGGCAAAGTAGTGGGGGCGTCCAATGCGGCTGCCTGGCCTCCTTGGAAATCGGGTCCTTCGAGATCTTGATTTCGCACTTTCGAGTCGGGCAGCCCCTGAATTTGCAGACCCGGCGGTAAATTTCTGGGCCGGTTGACCCAAGACTCAGTCAGCTTGGAATGTTGCGTCGCAGGCAAATTCGACTTCGTGTACATGCCTCACGACCGTCGCAAGAAGTTGAACATATCGCTGGCCTTCATCAACTTTGCACCTTGGAAGAGACCAAGCTGTTGGGGTTTTGGGATTGATGGTCTTTGTAATTCCTGCATGCGCTTTGGAAGCCCCAAGTTGTATTTCTCAACACGTGATGGGATGCGTGCTCAAACCCCGAGTCTGAAGCCCCAAGAGCTTCGAGCACTTTAGGCCAAAGTGCAGGCCCCAAGGACGTTACAATGTGCCAAAGCTATGAGATTTTCAATCAAGCCTAGCGAGAAGCACTTCTGCACCTGAAGGTGGACACTGTCAGTGCCCAGGAGGTTGCGGACTACGTCAATCGTTTGAACAAGCGTGTCTTGCCATATCAATGCGGGTTTTTAGATTCCTTTCCATGTCCTCCATCCTTCGTGGCTACTCTAGTTGGGACCACCAGAATGTCGCACTCAGGGGAGAGGGGTACTGCCACGGGACCGATGTTGCAGAGCACTCGACTCAGAGCATGTCCTTTCATAGCCCACCGACACCAGACGGAGCAAAGGCAGACAGTGGACTATGGTCGCCTGCGCCAGTAACGTGCAGAGTTTGCACTACAACATGGCCTACTACCTCGCTCGCTTCGGTGTCCACACCATTCACGACGCCTACTCCCCAAAGCTCTTTCAGGACGGCCGCCAACCCCCCCACGGAAGAACAGGTTTGTTGAGGGTGCCTATGGTGTTCCCAGCAGGTTTAGTCGCGAGCCGAGGCTTGCCGACGTTCGAGCTCGCTCTGCATTCAAGCCAATCACGCAAAGATCGACACGACTTCGCAGTCGCGTGAACTTCGCACCACCTCGGATGGTGTACGAACTATCGCAAAACATAAGTAGACGAGGCACGCTTGAATCTGTGACAGTTGCGTTCCGCCATAACCTCGAAAGTTCTAGACCCCAAGCCCGAAACACTTCTTAAGCTCTGAGCCCAAAAGCTCTGAAGGACGGTAGGCTGGTAGAGAACGCCGGCGAGCTTGTTGATACCTACAAAGCAGTGCCCGGGAGCGTGTTCCAGGAGGCCGGGGTGCCGTTGAAAGGGCACGTGAAGGCTGTAAGCTTAAGGTAGAGTAACGGCTTATATTGGTCTGTTCGTGATAGCCATTGCTAGCTGCTAGCCATGGTTTCTGATCGCCTTTGCTCTGATGTTCTTGCTGTCGGAGTTACTGAAGCCTTTTATATCACGCTGGGTTCGAGTTATCTCAGCGTTGAACGAGGCCAGAAGTCCTAACCCGTCGTTACAATGCATGGTTGGAGACTTGACCAGATTTGAACAGCTGTGTATTCTTGTCAGTCACACTTGCAGCAGGCTGCGCAAGTGTAGATCGACACCACCTGTGAAAACTGGTGGGCGCAGCAATATGACAATACGAGGAACTGCAAGGGCCGTGGAATCAGAACAGCGAGAGCAAAAATCATCTTTTTGCCCCGAAGATATCCCGGATTCTTGCTGCTGCGCTGCCATCATTAGCGTCAAATGGACATTTGAGAGGAGGCAGCTTGGCACATCCGCCCAGGGCTTGCTTCACCTTGCTTGGACAACGCCACGCAATGCTCAAACACTTGGGCGGACCGGCTCGCTCGTCTAGACTTTTAGTGGGCAAGCTGCTCCACCCACTTGTAGAAGACGAAGATGGACTTTGCTTTTTCTCTTCGCTGACTTTCTCCGGGTACAGCCAGAAGCTCTGAGAGGTGCTAATAGCAGCATTGGACCATCCGTACAGGGCATAATTAAAACTTGAAGCGTCGATTTCGATCCTGGAATCCTTCCTTGTGGCTCTTGATATCCGATGTCTCTGATGAATCTGTTCTTTATTCGGCTGCCCAAGCACTGATGGCAAGGAAGATTCTGGAGATATGCCAGTGGATGTTTGCTATGTAACGTGGCATCGGGGACGAAAGTCGGTTCCCGATGCATCATCTAGTTCGACCTGTTGGTATTTATAGGGGGGGGGTCAGGATTATTCCTTTGGGTTTTTAAGTTGGCAATGATGCTGAACTGAGGATTTAGCTGCCTGAAATCATCATATAAGTTGTATAATATGATTATTGTCCGTTTCATACTGAGCTCAGTTTCTTTAATGGAAAGCATGGGCTTGTCGGGGGGCAGTTATCCAGGTACACACTCCACCCACCCGACCCCACGCAACCACACACCAGCCCACCAAAACATGCCCCATCCTCCACCCTAAACCCGACCCCATCACCCGCACCCAACCCCCATCTTCACCAGCCCATAGCACCAACCCAACCACACTGCACCCACCCCACCTCACCCGAACCCACCCACCTGGTTCAGTTGTGAGGGTTAGGATTAGCGGCAAGGGTTTAGGGGTGGTTTCGGGATGTGGGGGGTAGAGGCAGATAAGCGTTATTAAGTTTTAGGATTATTATACGCGCTGACTTCTTCAGTGAATAGAATTTGTAACGTTTGTGATTCTTGTCCGTCTGCTACTGGGTTCAGCTCCGTTTATGTTAAGAGTGGGTTTACCGGGGCGGGTGGCAGTTCTCCAGGCGCACACAGCCAAAAACTGCGTCCCGCATGCGAGGCGCTGAGGGGGGAGGGGAGAGGCTGGGAGTTAGAGGACGGCGGGTGCAGACGGTGGGGTAGCGGTTGGGGCCCCAGGAAGTGGCTGGGGCTCGAGCGGCATGGCGTCGCACGCCCCTGCCCCCCGCGCGTCAACGGAGTTCGACCCAGTAGCAGACGGGCGAAAATCATAAACATGTCAAAGTTTATTCATTGAGGAAGTCAACATTCATCAACTACCAATACATACCGCCGTCCAAAAGATCAGCTTCTTCTGGCCACCCCCTCTGAATATCAACACTTCGACCGGCCTTACCTGCGCGGTGACCCCCCGCTCACTATCCCCCCCGAGACACGACCACCACCACTTCTACCACCGTTACCACCGCTACCACCGCTACTGGTACTGCTACTGGTACTGCTGCTGCTGCTGCTGTTACTCTTAATATTTTTTGTTGCTACGACGACTGCGAACCGCAACATTTTGTGCTGCAGGCCAAGGAGTTCGTCAAGGCTGAAAAGGCTGGACAGAACGTCCGGGGTGCCTTGGAAGTGTCTCAGACACCAGCGAAACACAAAACGGAGAGAGTCAAAGCTTCAGAGCAAGAACCCTGAGCTCGAAGCATGTAGGTTCCGAAGGCCAACATTTTTGCATTCGTATAAGGCAGCCAGCGACGTTCCGTGGAACTCGTGTGGAAGCAGGGGACACCTTGGAGATCGGCTGCGAGCCGACTCTCGGCTCCATGTGTTGTGAGGTCATCGTTGTGAGTACTGGTAGCGATGTGTTTCTGCGTGATCTACTGCATTACAAGTATCATGATATCTTTGACGATAATCATTGTGGTTGGGTGTTGCATCAATAGCCGTTCGAGTTCTTGTTGCACCGATGCTGTTGGCACTTTTGCAGAATAGCAATCAATCCTTACACTTTAGCCGAAGGTGTCAACGAGTTGGAACATGGGGCATTGAACAAAAACCTTCGTGCTTGAAGGTTGCAAGGCTTTCCTGTCAAGGCAAGACCAAGGCCCCAAGACCGCAATCCCCAAATGCCAATTCGCACAACTCCGAGCTGCACAGCACCAAGCCACCCTGGAAACAGAGGATTGCAGTGATGATGTTGGATGATTGTTCAGGGCTGTACCAGGAGTGCACGGGGAAGTGTGCAGAACGGTGATCACCACCGCAGCAGTTGTGCGACAGTCGCAGCCGTGGGCAATAGTGGTGGTGGTGGTGGTTCAGCATGTTGGTGGTAGTAGCAGTAGCAAGGGGTACTTAGTACGTGGTAGCAGGCATGAGTAGTAGTCAGTAGTCGGTAGTCCTCGTACGAGTCGTACTGGTCGTAGTTGTAAGTAGTAGCACGATAAACGGGTGGTTTGTAGAACAGAAACGAAGAGCATCGGGTCCCAGACCGTTTTCCGTGACTCCAATCTTGTGTGACTCAGGGTGTTTTCCCCAACAGGTTGAAGGCCCCAGCCCTACATCCATCTCGTCAGAGGCCTTGAGCACACCAGTACTGATGTGCCCATGTCCTGTCTTCGACTCCCTCCGGGCTTGAGCTCTCCGCCACTGGGTAGCGATTGGGGGCTCTTGGCACGGGAGGTCTGCGGTTGTTCTGCATTTTCGGGCTTTCGGACACCACGTGTGTGCGCGACAGTTATTTGTTTTTGTGGTCTGTGTGCCATCAAGCTGTTTACGTGCTTTGTGAGCCCCCTAGTAGGATGATTTCCAGGAGATTTCGCAGACTTTGCCACATCCTGAGGTTTGGAGATGCAAAGGAGTCCGTGAGCCATGCCGACTCCGAGCGTTCGACTTCGGCTTCGCCCAGCACGTGCAGCGACCCCGTCGGTGCTGCTCGTTGTCCTGAGGGAGCAGATCTCCAGGAAGGCCCACGGACAGCAGAGATGCCTTGCCGGTAAGCCCGTTTCAATTTCACCAACGAACGTTACTACCCTGCTCTTTAGATCTCCCACCCTTGTTAATTCAAACGCAGTGGCCCCCACCAAACGGTTGTGCATTGGCCCCTACAGCCCACGAAGCTGCGAAGGCGTGCTTGACCTTCTGCTCGAGCAACATGGAGCTGTCATCTTCAGCTTCTGAGCCATGAAGTGACGACAACTTCGACTAAATAAGAGTCGGTCAAGACATGTCAAGACACCACGGGTGTTCCTTCTGCTTGATATCCACAAGCAGCAAGGGAGGCCAACATACATCCCTCAATGCTCCTGAAGAGCCTCTTACAATAACAAATTCCATAGGAGGACATTTCAGGATGCCCCGCTTCTTCGGGGAGATGCTCTGGCCCTTTGGCTTGGCTTCGGGACGACTGCAGGTCTACGCACGACCGCGTGACAGAAAAGAATCACCCTAGGATATCGTCTGCCGTTGCTCTTTGGGCCAGTGCCTCTGCCGCTAGGGCGACAGACTTTCGTCGGCTGTAGAACTCGAATTTCAGCTCCCGACCTCAGACCTGCCAGACAATTAAGCCAGAATGCTGCTTCTGTTACCTGTACTTCTGCCCTCATGATCTGTTCGAAAAGTCTTTCTTAGACTAGAGTAGGTTTGGGGTCGGCCGTGCAGTGCTCATTCTCGGCTAGAGCGCGCGCTAGTTCTAAAAGCTTACCTTGCTTCCAGCTTCTCGGGGGTGTTGGTTAATCAGCAGGCCCGGAAGATGCTGTCAGAGGTAGCGCGTGCACACTTGGTCTGGCACTTTGCCGTGCCAATTCAACGTCTCATTTCTGTGAGCCACCCATTCCTCATAGTTGAGGAAGGCCTAGCCCGTGAGGTCTCCTCCGGCGCAGTTTTTGAAGGTGCACGAGCAAGCGTTTAGGCGGCATTTTTTCAATGATATCTTTCAAGACAAGGCTGGTTGGAGGGGAGGTGGCCAGCTCTGACACCAGGGCAGATCAACTGCAGCCCCAAATCGAGTGACTAGAGAAGCACTGGACAATTCATTGGCCAAGCTGTGAGCTCGAGCTCCAGCACCTCCTGGCCAAACCAGTCCGAGAGCACATGTTTCGTCTATCCTTTTTCTGCCTCGACAAGACCCAGGCCAACGCACCTAGTTTTGCACTGCCTCGAGTTGTGCTTGTGAGACTGATGAGTAAGGATCTTGCTACTTGTTCTGGGAACGACATTTCACACTGGCAGTGGCATGGTTGAGGAACTACATGAACAGTTTCGCACAGGATCTCGAAAAGAGAGCAGGTGCCGGCAGAAAGAACGGCACGGCCTTCAAACATGAACCATACAAAACACCTCGACGTTTTCCATATTTTCGGGCCACAGGTACAGGTCCATCTGCAGCCTTGCAGCATGCTCGAGAGAACAGAGAAGTTTCACGCCACTGTCCTCGCTCCAAGCTGGCGTGGCCCGTAACAAGACATCCCGAAGGGATGTGGCGACTCAGCATGGACTCCTGCTTCCTAGGACGCACGAAACACTCTGGTTGTCGGCCGATATCGAACATCGGGCATCCTTGTGCATCATGTGAATGCAGGATGACAGTGATGCAGGGTGAGACCAAACCTTGCTTTGGCGTGTATGTTCTGCGACCTATGCTGTCGTGTTGTGGAATAGGACGCATGTTGATGCAGCTACGTTGAAATCCTACAAGCTTGAAGAAGATTCGTAAGAAATCCAAAACGAGAACTATCAAGACCGTCAGGACCCGAGCACTTCGGGCTAGCTTGCCGGCTTTACTCAAAGTTGCATGCATCTTACTGAGAGTCTCGAGTCATAGCACAGCGAGATAACAAGGCTAAAACATGACATGGCACGCCAAAGATACTAAAGTAATTAGCGTGCGGCAGTGTTGTTCCACGGTATGATGTAGTCGCGAGAGACTTCCCAGACTGTACTGCGTACGACGATTCATGTCCTTTTGATCCTGTCTTGACAGCCTTGTGATGATCCTCGCCCCAACGTAGCTGCAGGCAAGGACAAATCCCATTTTCGAAGGTTGCTCAGAGGCCCGGGACTTTGCTTCAGGATGACCTTAGATGCGCAATTCGCTCCCGCCCGGTTTTCTGGCATCCGCCTCAGGTCGGACATCTCAATATATGTTTTTTTTGTTTCCAAAGACTGCCGCCCGACGATGACATAGCAGAAAGGCGGAAAACGAGTGTCGAGAGTAGGCTGCGGCACATGCGAGCACGTGCACATCACCAGTGTCCAGTCACGGGTGTTCTTCTAGATTTTTTCGGGCTTGAGCGCTTCGGACTCTGGCTGTTCCGCCCAGGCAACCTTGCACGACAACTCGAAACCGAAATAAATCCCTACCTCCCTACGGCTTGACACATTTTCTAAGTCCTGAACCCGCGACTTGCTGGTATCCGGAAGGCAGCCACGGAGGTGGTCACCAACGTCACGGAGGTGCCCGAGGCCTATCTTCGATGGGTTCGTCGGTTTTGCTAATTTGCAAAGAAAGCGCCCAAAGGGTCTGAAGAAAGCCGCCGTGCCTTAACACGAAGAGTATGAATGCGCTCAGCCTCACGCCTAAAGCCGGACCCCGTCCAGTCCTGCTTGGCCTAGCATCAAATGCGGGCAAGTCGGGCCATCTTTCGAGGCCACTCTTCTTTGTCAAAGCGGCCCTGTCAGGCTCACAAGAAGCACATGGCGGACAGCGAGAAGGAGAAGGGCAATGAGGCGATCGTAAACTAGGCTGCTAACACGGTGGAAGCATCCGCCTTACGGGTAATAAGATGTTACGCCCTGGAGACAGTGGACTCTCTGACAGAAAGGATTTGGTTTCAGAGATTTCCTGTTCGACGACACCGCCTCAGGCATACTTGTTGAGGCCCCTGAATCTCTGAAGCACGTCTCTTGCCTCAAGTTTCGACTGAAAGAGGCCTTCTACTCGAAAGACTTCTCAGAAGCCGAGGCAACGGGCAGCGATGAGGGTTTGGAGGGCAGAAGTTGTGCATGATATACCAGGCGACTTCATGTCAGCTCAAGACTCTTGATCTCGTTGAGTTCCTGTAATAGAAGCCAAGTCATCTGAACCCCGGGTTTCACGTATACCGCAGCTCTGCCGCCTTTGTGTCCGAAAAGTCGGCAAGGGTTTTGACAGCAGGTTGCTTGACGGCCCCTGCATTGAGCTTCATTTTCTGCGCATTGAAAACTTGAGCTGCGCTCTGGAAGGTCGGGCTGTTGAAGGAAGTGAACCGTGTGCGATTTCGGCTTGTTTCTTACATGCGAGTGCCACAGCATGTTCTGCAAACGGTGAACCGCGGGACAGCGGAGGCCTACTACAGCAGGAGCTTACAGTACCAGGCCGACGATGCCTCCGCCTGGGCGAACCGGGCACTGGCGGTGACCCCGGTTGCGGTTCAGGGACAAGGATAGATAGGATAGCCTCAAAGTGTATATGGTTCGGCGAGGCTCTAAAGGCTTCTGGGACCTGTGGCAAGACATCCATATGACCCCAACGCAAGCAACTGCACGAATGAATCAGCGTTCAGGCAGAATGTGTGCCTGCTCCTGATAGGAGGATGAGTGGACATGTCCCAGCAGAAATACATATGTAAGCAGTTTACCGACTTTGTGTGAAGTCTACATATGACACGTCATATGCAAATATGTGTTGATGGATATACGTAGATGTATGTATATACATGCATATACATATGTACGCATGTGTATGTATGTATGTATAGATAGATAGATAGATAGATAGATATACACACACACGCTTATCATAAGGACTTAGTTTTGCCAGCGTACGGCTTGGAACTCTTTATCGGTAGCTGAAGGCCAGATTCCGTGCACAACATCCAAGGAGTATTCTGTATTCTGACTGCGTAGTATTCTGGATGCATCGGACTTGGCCCCGAGGTGAGACTGAAGCTCAGCAATTTCCAGGGTGCCCTGGAGGAGTGGGCATCTCGAGGGTTTCAGCTCACTGCGCAATAGCATGAGTGCTATGACGATGGGGATGATTGAGGTGCCACTTTGGCATTTGGGCGTTGTTGTCGTGCTGTGTTCCAGTATGGCAGTTTTCATCAGTCTCCCAGCACGTATGTAGATCGTGTTGCGATTTTCATGGTCTGTTTGACACCCAGGAGACCATCATGATAGCTCCATGAGACTAGCGACAGGGGGCGGTCTGAGGTCTGAATCAGAGCCTTCTGACGCTAGAAAGGCTTCATGTATACCCTTTGATCATCTTTGACCCGATCCTGGGGTTGAGGTTGTGTGTTACGCCTCGATGATCCTCTGCGTACCTGCGGGTGCTGGAGGACTGTGAGCATGCCCTGGCGCTGAATGGCAGCCACGTGAAGGCAAAGCCGAAGCTCTGGACTCGTCGCCAATGTTTTGAACTCCAACAGCTGCACGGTGTCAAGGGCAGAGAGCCGGGCCCAAGAGAGATCTCTGGCTCCTGATGCAAGCCACCGTGCAGCTGCGTTGTGAGCTTCTGAGATCAGCTTCTTGGACATCTAGGCAGTCTTTGATTCTTTCGGCAGACTTTCGGGTTGAGATGCCTGACATCCAGCTTCCGGTAAGTTCGTAGGTCGTTTTACCGCAGATGTGTGTATGACCTCTCTTGGCTTTTGTGTTTTCTGCAGGCGCTTCATCGGAAGGGGAAGGCACTTTACGAGCTGCAGCGCTTTGCTGATGCTGCGGGGACCTTTCGAAGCGAAGTGCTAGAGCTACGGTCGCTCATACCTTGTCAACACTATGTCCGCGACTTGCATGACACCAACAACCGCAGAATTGACAGAAGTGCAACTGACCGGGATATGGGCTGGTTGAAGGGTTCAGACTTGCTGGGTTTTGTGTGATCAGCGGATGAGTTGAAGCTGTCCGTGCCAGGCCGCTCATCATTTGCTTGTTCCGTGCATGCTTGGCCCAAGCTGCTGAGTGTCCTGCAAATACTGTGGGGCTGTAGAAGTTCGAGAGCCGCTGTCCCAAAAGGTATCCCCCCAAGCCCCAGATTACCTCTGCTACTCCTCCGAATTGACGGCACCTCGAGATACAGATATTGCCAACAACGTGTTCGTGTAGCTGATCCGATACACGGCCGCGCCTCTGAGCCGAGGTCATCAACACCCGAGAAAAATCTTTCATGCCGACAGCCCGAGCTCCGTCAAAAAACCTGCGAAACACTTGGAACCCGAACCCCGTGAACCGTTAGACTACAAGAAAGCCGCGAGACCCTCATGCCTAATCATTTCACGACTCTTTGAAGATAGCATCAAAATCACCAAGAAGCTCCGTCGACGTACTCTCTCCTGCCATGCGCGCGGTCCGCAGTGTTCGAGAGCAGCGTGGTGACGCGGCCTGGGCCGCTCAAGCTAAAAATTGAACATCGACCAGTAGCAGGGCAAGGGGTGCAGTGTAAGCAGTGAGTCATACAGCAGTAGTAGTAACAATATTAATAATAGTAGTAGTAGTAGCAGTA